CTCTCTCTCTCTCTCTCTCTTGGGTCTTGTACTTCTGATACTCGTTCTGGCACGAGCTTGCTCCCCCTCATTTGGCGCGAGGTGATGCTGGAGGTGCAGGCCCAGATGGGCGAGTACGCTCAGCTCCGGGGCGCCTGAGCGGCGCCGGAGCGGCGGCGGCGATGTGTCTCACCCACACCGAGAGTCGCCCAGAGCCTGCCTTTGCCCCGGCAGAAGAGGCCAAAGAGTGACGGCTACACCCCGTCCCTCGAAGAGTGTTGCTGGATTGTGTGTCGGATGTGACACGTGTATCTCGATGCAGCAGCCCCTCCGCTGAACCGGAGTTCCTCCGTCGGGCTCAACATGTCACATCACGGCGAGGCATATTCAAATGTGAAGATACTGGAACCCAGAGCTCACACTTAGAAGCCCCAGGGCCCCACACCAAGCAGAGGGTGGTTCGATGCGCTATGGGCAGTGGTGCCTCCAAGGAGCGCTAGGCTCTAGGACTCCAGGTCTGGGGAGGGAGATGCCTTTTCGGTCCAAGGAGCCGGAAGCAGCCGACAGGCCCATCTGCGAAAAAGCCATGAAGGTCCCATGTCCTCTATTTCCTAAACGAGGTCAAAGACCGAAGGGATCCCAGGCCTAGGCCCTAGGCTCAGCCGCCCTGCCCTCCAAAAGGGGCCGCGTCTGACCGTGTTGTCTTCAGGTGATCGCCTGAGCCCGTCCTTTCAGACCTTTCAGACCTTCCTTCCTTCGCCCCTGCAGCTGGCCCTGGCCCTGGAGCATCTGGAGCCCGGTCCGGTGCATGCGGAAACCGGCCTCTGCGGATGGCTGCGGCCTCTGCGCTGAGGCGTCCTACCCCTTAGTGGCGAACAACGTGAGGCTGCTCTGTGACGAGGAGAGGGCCAGAGGGCCGCAGGGCACCGGCTCCGTGAGCGCGAACTGGCTCAGGAGGACCGCCTTCGGCCACGGGCCTCCTCTCTCACTGCGTCCTTTCGGCGCCTGCGCCACACGCCCCTCGGACTTGGACTGAGAGGACTACGGCGGAGAACGGCCGAGAACCTATAGCCTAAGCAGTGCATCCTTTCAGGTACGGGTGTGAAGGCCTCCGCGGCCTCTTCCGCGGTGGCCACCTCTACATGCTACACCAGGCGAGGGTTTCCTGGGCGACTCAACGCATACACGAAAGCGGAGGTGCTGCGTGATGGTCTCCGGCGTGTGGTCGCGGGCCGAGATCGATGCCGCTCCTCGGCGTCGAGGTCGGGGCCAGTTACGAGTACGCAGTGGAGGCAGAGAGCAATTCTTTCTGGCAACGGAGGTTGCTGATGAAGTACGGCATCGATGTCGTTTGCTATCCGATCTTGCTGGCATCAACTCGTGTGGTGATGTTGAGGAATGAGGAGACGACAAGGGAAGAAGATTGCAATAAATACAAGAGAGCATTCGCACACGCGGGCACACGCACATGCACACGCACACGTCCACGTCCACGTCCACGCGCACACGCACACGCACACGTCCACACGCACAGGTCCACACGCCCACGCCCACACGCGCACGCACACGCGCACGCACACGCGCACGCACACGCACACGCGCACGCACACGTGCACGCACACGCACGTATGCACGCACCCACCCACCCACACACACACACACACACACAGTGTTAGCTGTGTCTGTTTTCCTCGTAAGGATCTTCACTTTCTGAGCCTGCGCTTTTAGCCCTGCGGGTTATATATATATATATATATATATGGTTTGCTGCAGTTTGCTCTGCAATCCTTCCTTGAACAACTTTCGGGCTTCCGCTTAGGCTTTTCTCTACAATCCTTCCTTTAGGGTTTCATATTCGGAACGATTTTCAGGTTTGCTCGCCAATCCTCCCTTTGTCTTCACGGCTCAGCAATCCTCTCTTTAGGGTTTCATCTTCGGGACGGCTATAAGTAAACCTGGAACTTGTCCCGAAGATGCAAACACTAAAGCGAGGATTGCAGAGCAAACCTTAAAACCGTCCCGAAGATGAAACTAAAGGAAGGACCACCCTAGAGGAAGGATTGCACAGCAAAGCCTAAGTTGAAGCCCGATCGTCCCGAAGATGAATCCCTCAGCGGGGGATTGCAAGGCAAACCCAAACCTTATCATCGCCTCGAAGATGATGAAGCTTTGAAGGAAAGTTTGCAGAGCAAAGCCAAGTCGAAGCCGGGTCGTCCCGAAGATGAAACCCTATCGAGAGGATTGCAGATCAAACCCATATGCACAGCAAACCCTAAAGTTGTCCCGAAGATGCAAACCCTAAGGCGAGGATTGCAGAGCAAGCCTGAAAGCCGTCCCGAACATGAAGCTCTAAAGGAAGGATCGCAGAGCAAACCTGAAGGTGGTCCCGAAGACCCTTAAAGAAAGGATGCAGTATATGCGACAGTGGTCCCCTTTGCAAAACAGCGTGCCATTTCCATTGGCCGCACTTGAGCCAATCGTCGCTTGCCTGTGCAACAGCTGGTTGTTTCGGAAGGCTTAAAGCACAAAAGACACCGCCACAATCTAGATTCCGAAACAACCATAAAATAAGCTGGCTCATGCTTCTGACCCCTCTCGAACGCATTGCGTTGCAATGCCACTCCTTCTTCGACAACAGATCAATAGCCACAGCTCATGACATAACGAAGGTAGTCACCAGGGTGGCACTTCGTCAGAGGATCGGCCAGCATGGCCCTTGTGTCGATCCATCTTATGGATCCCGAGGTTTCTTGCAAGTCAGCTTTGATTACCGACAAGTATTTCGCGGCACGTTTATCGGAAAGAAACTTTCCCAGGGTATCGTACAAACTCTTCGAATCAACGGCCGCAAAAAGAAGAAGCTTGTCAGCATGATCACGCCATTCTTGGGGAGATAACATACCGTGGAAAGCCTCAAGAAGAAACAATCGGTGTCAGTCGTCTTCTCGGGTCCTGGGCTGCTAAGTACGTCCACCTCTACTGTAAGGAGGTGGTCGACTTAGTTAACAGCCTGCCTTAGGTTCAGGTACTGTCTCACCAGAGAATCCATAGTGCCCACCGCACCTCCTCAGCTACCTGATGATCCTTGGGTTGTAGCACCTCGGGGAGGGTGGCCTCAGAGAGAACGTCCTCAGCAGTGGCCTCCGCAATGCCAGCTGCAAAACTTAAGCAGCCAGTCAATCCTGATTTGCTGAGTTGAGACCTGCTGATTCCACCTCTCCCTCAGGCGTGCTACCTTCTCATAGATGGTTTCCTCACCCAGGGTGTCCGAGTGAGCCCCGTCCTCATTCTCCTCGTCCTCAGGATCCTGCAGACAGGTTTAGTTGATTCAAGTTTAGGTTTGGGGCTGAACAAGGAGCTTTGCTGCTACGTATACATGATGAATTAGCTACTTACTGCTCAAGAAAGTACCTGAGTTCTTGGGCGCAGGGTCTCTATGATTAAGGAGTTTAGGGTTGAATTACGGCCTTTCGGGCTTTAGGGTTTTGAGTTAATTTTCAAGGTGCCAGTATTCAGGTGCCGGAGGCGGGGAAGTTGCTGTGGATCTTGCTTGCTGGGACTCCACTTCCGGGTGGACTTCTGAAAGCCGCAGATCCGGTCTACGGTGTCTCGTGAAGTACACAAGTTCTCTTCTGGCCGTGCCACGCGTCTTCGGTGACCTCGTGCTTGGTTCCCTGGTCCGAGCACCACGCCTTGGTAGTTCGCTGCGCCGGGCTGTCGTGGAGGTCGTAATCAGTCTGCAGCCGTCGGGCCAAATGTACCTTGCGAGTGGTCCGTCAATTCGAGCAACTGCAGCTCCAACCAATCAACCCAACAAGCTGCATCAACCCAAAAAAGGGTCAGTTGCTCAATCCCGTGACCGCGGACCTCGTCGATGGTCGAGATAGCACTTCGGCCAAGTTTCTTGTTCTTCTTTGTTGAAACGAGGTTGGGATCTTAGCGAATGCTCCAACGACCTGTCCTAAGAAGAAAAAAAGTCCTGCGCGGCAGTCAGCTCGCTTCTTCGTCAGAGCGTCACCCAAGTCGAAGTCAGAGGCAAGCCAGCATGGCTCTCGGCTGGCTCTTCGAAGGTTATCTCGAAACTGAAATGCTTGAGGAGTAACCCGCATGTTGCTTAAGGCCAGAAGTGGGCTTTCATTGAGCTGCGCAGCGTCGCAGCCACCCTTGCTGTCGGTGCATAAGACGCTGTTGATGCGCGCCGGCATGCGCTCGGCCGTCTCAACCCAGTCATCTCGAACAGGCCGCTGATGAGCACCCGCGTAGGGCCTCCCAAAGTAGTGAAGTTCTGATCCTCAGCCTCCAGCATAGCTTGCACTTCCGCGTCGTTGCTGCCGATCGCTTTTCCCTTGAGTTTCCACGTCCTCCATGTGATAAGACACATAGCACAAACTCGGCCATCAAGGCACTCAGGTCCCGCTAAGAGGGTGACTAATCCTCCAGTCGAGTCTCCTTTCTGGTGATCCGCGTGCGCCTAGTGATCACGACCAAGTCAGACCAGTGCTTGGCTGATGGAAAATTTTGAAACGTCAAGCTGAACGGTTCCCGCCTGACTTCCATGATGACCTTCTGGATTTCTGTCGCAATAGCCATATCACCCTTCATAACCAAATCGGTGAAACGGAGGTTACGCCGAGCACAGATATGTGGCTGTGACTGGATCGCCATCTCGCGGGCTCAAAGGTTCGCCAGACCTCAGCTGTTCCGGGACAATGTCGAGGTCCGGGCGCGTAGTAGTCCTGGTTCACGACGATCTTCATGTAGCCGCGATCATCTCGCTTTGTCGATTTGTTCCTTGATGGCTAACGCTGGAACCATCGCCTACCCGAGGGTGGTCACCATGCTGGTCAATCTTAGAGAGGAACATGCGCAACTCCGCTCACTTGGAACAGGTTGTCCGGCTGCCGGCTCAGGCCGTCAAGGTCTTATGCGAGTCTAACCAGAAACCCCTGGTGCAGTCGTCGATCCATAGATGTTCCGAAGAATCCTCATGATCGCCCCTTCGCCCACCGCCAAGGCATCTCGTAGTTCCTTGACGCCACGCGTCCAGATCTCTTGGTCCGTCTCAGCGGCCGGAGTCTGCCTTCTGTCGCCAGGTCCAAGCCCTCGAGCTTCCATTAATTGATGATGCGCAGCTAGACCGTGCAATAGGTTCCGACCCACTGTTGACTGCGCCGGACTTGTTGTCTTGAAAGAAGGATCCAGCAAGTTGGGGCGCGCGGAACCCGTCGAAATCCGGTAGCACAATCCGCATGGTCCCATCGCGGTTGTGGACGGTGTTGGCGTTTGTCATGCGGTCGTGCTGTGCTTCTTGTAGCTCCTCGGTGGGGGCGCGCCCGCAATGCGTCCACTCTCGTAGGCCTTTTTCACCTCGGCCTCATCCGAATTTCGTCGTACTGCCTCGTTCTGGATGAAGGAGTCCACTGCAAAAGAACGAGTCAGTGACGCTCAGAAGGTGGATGGTGACGACGGTAAGGTGATCCAGTTCCAGGACCGTGCAGTGCTAGCTGAAATTCGTCAACCTCTTTTCTGCTTTGGAAAGTTGCTTCGAGATCAGTGGAGCTTGATCCAGAAAGAGGTTGGAGATTGCACAAGGGTGATCGTTCATTTGCTGTCGATTAGACCAAGAATATAACCTTGCGACTCATATGCGCATTCATCGGGTAGACCAGAGTGTGAACAGCTTCGTACTGACCTGGTCGAAGCCTGAAGTTCCTCTCTAAACCTGCCAATGGAGATTCGGATGATGGTCGAGATCTCATGCATGCGCAAGCGCCTGGTTGGAGCTTGACAGCAGAGATGATTCCGGTGCGTTTGGGGATAAACTTCCAAACAACTCTTGATGCAGGAACATTTTTTGCTCCTCAAGAGTGGCCTTGCAGAACTACATTGTTGCACAGGGGTGGTCGTACTTACGAGATTTACGAGTGTGGAGAGCGTTGGAGTGATGCAAGACAAGATAGCCGAATCGAGCAATGGAGGACGGTTTTGCCGCCGATTTCATTTGCTATGGTCAACAGTTCGTCCAAGAGCATCCTGACAGCCTCCAGGGTCCAGTCCTCCGCCCCCGCCTTTCTTCGGGTTTGCATGTGCTTCAATCTGTGGTGTGTTTGTTTGGGAAATCCATTTTAGCGGTTCCGCCTGACTCATGGCCAGCGGTTGCAAGCCTTCTAGGAAATTCTAGGAAGCTGATCGCAGAACACCTCCGACCTCCCCCCATATTTGAGCCAAATACGCCCTACGAGCTTCTGGCCTGTGAAACGCTTGTAGGGGAAGAACTACATCAGAAGCTGCGATTTCGGTTCTCAGGTCCCTGTGACCTTCCGTATGGCTCGAGAAACCCTGTTTGGGAGTTTGTACAGCGGCTATCCCGCCCGTGATGCAGATACAATAAAGGATATAGGCTTATAACCCTGATTCCTGGCAACCTCTGGCATGGGTTCAAATAATTAAATCTGTGGAAAACCTGTGAATCCAGGGGTCGCAGAATCTGTGAAAAATCTGTGAAAAATCTGTGAATCCCGAAATCAGACCTCCAGAATCTGTGAAAAATCTGTGAATCCCGAAAAGCCATGTTTGGAATCTGTGAAACCCGCGTGGCCACGTTGCGCGGGGGCCCAAGCGTAGGCGTAGGTGCGCGGCGCACCCGGTGCGCGTTGACTACAGTGACTACAGCTGCGTGCAGTTACGTCAGCTGCTTCCCGCGTGGCCACGTTGCGTGGGGGCCCAAGCGTA